TCTCTCCTCCAACCTCCAGTGCCTTCTTTAACATTACTGTAAGCTGGTCACCACGGATTCTACTTTATTGAGAGCATTAGAGGGTTCCGGAGAAGCTTCCCCAGGCTTCTGTCCTGTCAGCATCAGCACCCCCCACACTCTGCCTTTTCTAGGTAAGGCCAATTCCTTACCTAGATCGAGTGCACTAGATCGCCTTCCCCTCTTCCTCATTTAGGGCGTGACTACAGCAATTCTATCCTCTCTTATATCGCTGACTTTTTTGTTCTTTACTGGATCATTGTTATGAACATATTAGTAATCTCCCATCTTAGGGTGGAGAATTTTTCTCTTTACTTTCTCTCCCAGCTGCCATCCCATTTCTTTGCACTGGTTACAACCAAATACGTAGAGAGCTATCTATGCTCACTGTCTCCAATTAATTTCCTCCTGAGTTCTCTCGAGTTACTTAATCAGTCCTGTTTTTTAAATCACTCCACAGAAATGGGTCTTACCAAGGTGACCTGTGACCTCCATGGTGTTATAGTTCATAGTTATCAGTCTTCTTCTTACTTGAATGATGAGAGACATTTGACACAGTCATTGACTCCCTGCTGTTTGATACGCTTTCCCTGTTGGCTTCCCGTATGCCACACTCTCCTGGTGCCTTCTCTTTAGACACCTTTGTGGGTTCCTTCTCTTCTCACTCATCTATCAATGTTGCTGTATCCCAGGGCACAGTCCTTGGTCCTCTTCTCTTCTGTTTATACTCACTTTCTTGGTTATCTCATCTAGTCCTGTGGCCATAACTACCTTCTACATGCCAACATTTTCAAAATTTTTATGTCCAGTCCAGACTTTTCTTTTACACTCCAGATTTCTATATCCAACTGTGTACTTGGCATCACCACTTGGATGACTGTCTTCTCAAACTGAAACTGTCCAAAACTGAATTCCTGTCCCCTTGATTCCTGCCAAACCTATAACAGCTGCAGCTTTCACTGATCTTAGTTGATAGCAATCCATTATTCCATTTTTTTTAGCCAAAAAACTTGAAGTTATTCTTGATTCTTTTCTTTCTTTCACATTCTATGTCTAAGCAGGCAGGAACTATTGCTGGCTCTATCTCGAAGTTCTATTCAGAATCTGACCACTTTCATCGCCTGTTCGCTACCACCTAGATCTCAGCCGCCATCATGTCTTGCATGGACTCCTGCTCTAGCCTCCAGGGTCTCCTGGCTTCTACCCTGGAATCTCCACAATTTATTTCCAACACAGCAGCCAGATTGATGGTTTAAAAAGATCATGTTGGATCTTTCTCAAAAAATTCCAGAAGCTACCTATTTGACATCACAGTCCTTCACACGGACTGCTCGATCAGACTCCTGTCACTGGTGTGATCTTGGCTGTGTGACTTAACTCCTCTATGCCATAGTCTCCTCTTTGAAAATGGAGCATGGTGTAATTCTTACCTCACAGGATTGTTATAAGGATATACCAATTGTTATCCATGTAACAGTCGATTGTTATAAGGATACCAATTGATTGTCATCCTTATTATAATCCTGTGAGATAATGCATGCAATAGTAAAATTGCATGTAATAGTGAAAAAGGAGGCAATATTTTATCAATATCATTGGGAATAATAATATTGTTAAGTTTAATGCCCTTAGCTTAGAATCCAACGCCATTTATATTTTTTTCCAATCTTCCCTTATACTGCCTTTCTAATGGTCATCCCTTTCTGTTTTGCAGTTTTCCTGCTTGTAAACACGGTAGCATGGATGTAAGCCACACCCTTGCTCACAGGTTGGTTGTGAGGCTGCATGAGATACTGCACATCAAAGTCATTTATTGTAGAAGGGGCCATCAAACTAGAAGACACTCTCTTCATTTCTCTAGGGACTAAAGGCTCCTTTTTCTTGTCTGCAGAAATGGCAACAAGGTGATTTTCCCTCTGATGTTTCACCTGACCTGAAAATAACAAACATGTATGTTGCTATGACAACATTAGAGAGGAAGTTAGTACTCAAAGCAGCTAAGTACTGCCCCTGAACAGGCTGCAGGGCGAGGCACTTGGTTTGACAGATTTCTAGAAAACAGCAGGGACTCTTGCTTCCCCTGCCTTGTGAGCCCACGTATCCTTGTCAACTCTGATTAATGAATGTTCCAGCAGAAAAGAAACACCATTCATTTGTTTATTCTTCTTAGTGTTTGAAGTTGATGGGGTTTGTTTCTCTCATTTCATTGAAATGCTTCCTACACAAAACAAATACAAGGTCAGCTGGATTCCCAGAGAGTATATACCTGTAGGTCCAAAGCACAATCATTTCGATGCAAGTGTGACAAAAGAAAAAAATTTATCATTATTCAATATTTTGAAAAAAATCCGATGTAATGTTTGAGTTAAGCAGATGGATGGACCTGGAGAGATGAAGGGCTTTGGTGTAGAACTTGGTGAGTGGGCCTTTGAACCCGCCTTTTGAGTACTGCAAGGCTCTTGATGTGAGAACTTTTCTCCTTTTAATCCTGCCTCTGCGTCTTTGTCTATATAGAATTGTCTGAACTGGAGGAGCTGGACAACTTAGGCTGGGGGAGGAAGTGGGAAGAGGTTCTGGAAACAAGTAGGGCAAACCCAGTTCTCTGCAAGGACAAGTCACACTAACACCTCATTAGTTTCCTATTTGAAATATGAGTAGAAAACCAGGAAATGTGAACAACACAAGTAAAATCTGGTGCAATAGAGGTTAGAGCCACTGTCAGATACCTTATAGTAGAGTTGGTCTGTATGACATGAAGCAGTTGAACGGTTATAACTGTGCATATGGTATTTGGATAGAAATTTATCTTAGCACCTATTTTTGGAGTCTAGGCCATCTGCTATGCCTTGCACTCAGTGGTATGATGTGGGAGCATCACGGGCTCTGAAGGCTAGCTTCATGACACCAGCTGCTGGCCCTTGGGCTAGTTGAATTTCTCTGTGCCTCAGTTTCCTCCTTTATAAAATGAATAATATGGTAGTAACGATAATAATACTTTGTAGAGTCATTGTGAGAGTTAAATGAGATAATATCTGTTAAACTAATTGGAATGAAATTAGATTCTTTGTTCCTGTGTGCTCTCAAGACCATCAAAGGGTGAGACGGCCGTACCAAGATCATGATAACAAAGTCCCTTTCCCCTCAGGTGTGGTAGTGAAGTAAGTAGACAAATAATAATATAAATATAATGCAAATGGTTTAATGTGCTATGAAGCAAAGTGATTAGAAAAACAAGAGAATGTGATGAATTTGATGAGACAGAAATCTGGATACTTTGTAGAAGGTGGGATGGGTAGATAGAGTAAGTGGTGGGGAGGTGAAGAGATTTTCCAGGGGGAGGAGAGAGCAAACATCCAGGCCTAGGGACTGGAGGACACAGGGCACAGTGGGGTCACATGATCAGGATGGTTTTCCAGGATCACGCTGTATGGTGGGCAATAGAAAAGAAGCCCAAACTCCAAGTAGGTTGGGACTGAATGCTGGATGCGTTGCTTAGGTTTTATTCTGTAAAAAACTGGCAGCCATTTTTTTTTAAAAGCAAGTGTCTTAATTCATTTATGTTGCTGTAAAGGAATACCTGAGGCTGGGTAATTTATAAAGAAAAGAGGTTTATTTGGCTTACAGTTCTGCAGGCTGTACAAGAAGCATACAGAAGCATCTGCTTCTGGTGACGGCTTCGGGAAGCTTCCATTCATGGCAGAAGGGGAAGAGGAGCTGGCATCACATGGTGACAGAGGGGGAAGAAAGAGGGAAGGGAGGTGACAGACTCTTTTTAACACCAGATCTCTTGGGAACTAAGAGTGAGAACTTACTAAATCCCACAAGGATGGCACATAGCCATTCAGGAGAGATCTGCCCCGTGACCAAAACTCCTCCCACTGGGTCCCGTCCCCAGTGTTGGGGATCAAATTGCAACATGAGATTTGGAGGGGACAAATGTTCACACTATATCAGCAGGTGAGTGATAATGATTAGGTCTGTGCCTTAGAAAGATAACTCCGGTCTTTGTGTATCTCAGGACTTATGGGAAGGAAGACTAAAATACTCTAGAAGACAATTTGGCAGCTTATTGTACGTAATGGTTGAGGCTGAGGCTATAGCCAAGACTAGGTTAGCCTTGAAACTGCTTGGGAACCTGGGTGACCAGGAAGATGACAGGTAACAAACTTACGGTTGTTAAATGACTGATTAGCATCACTTCTGGATCAGTGATGGGAAAGGGTAGGGAAAACTGGGTGAAACGGGAAACCACCACAGGCCCGACTGAAGGCCCCTGGATCTCTAACTCTGAATAGAGGGCAGAAGTCATAGCACCCACACTGGCTAGGTACTCTGGCAGATGCAACCTCAGTGTCCATCCCTCCTGTCTCTTGTCCATGGTAGAAACTGAGGTCTGACTCTGTTTAGTCTTCCCTCTCCTTCCTAGCAGCCTGCCTTCAGCATTCTGTGAGGAAGTCAGCTCCTATCACCAAGAGGAGGATGCCACTCTGAGTACCTGCTATGAGGCTGGTGGCAGAGTCCCAGACACTGGTCCAGCTACCAAACTCAGGGAGCAGACACATCTGTCAGCCAGAGGTCGGCATGTAGAACTCAAAACAGTAATTTAAAAATTATGATTCTTTTTATCCTTTTCCTTTGGTTCCACTTCCTCTCATTATTTAATCCTTGAACAAACAGTTATTGAATGCCCATTATATGCATGGTGCTGAGTTTGGTGCTGGAGTGGGGCACTATTATATGAATTAGACATTGCCCTTGAGCTTATGCTAGACATTTATGTTGGATGTACCATTTTTTCTTCGTTAATAGAAAGAGAACTGCCCTGGGAAAGTTAATAAAGAGTTTTAGAGAGTGGGCTTGCTTTTAAACTCAGTTGATCACAGCATTATTTCTGGACAGAATCTGCAGGTCTTTATAAATCTAGTCTAACTCCTTCATTTTACAGACAAGCAATAAACTCTGAGAGGAGGTCAGGTGACTTCAAAGGTCATACAAGTAAAGAATTCTTAACTGGGTTTGGAACTCATGTTTTCCAGCATATGTCTTTTTTAAAATTCCTTTTGTCTCTTTAATGCTAAAAACCCAGAATAAGTCTTCACAAAAATATCCTAGCATAAATTCTTAATGGTGAGGGATAATCTTTCTTCTCACTCCCCATCAGTGCACATAGTGCGAATGAGACAGAAGTGTGGGATGAAACAGATGAGGAGGATGGAGCAGCACATGTGTGGGTGAGGCAGAAACAAGAGAGAATGGCTTTGAATGTGACAGATCCATCAGATACACCCCTGAAGCCTGCAGACAGGATGGTCTCCAGGAGGATGTGCTCTAAGAAAATGACTGGCTCTGAAAGTGAGTGCTATTAGGAGGCTTCTTCATGTTCGTCTTATGTAATTGTTAATTTTCCTAGAACCAACATGCTTTGCTTTGCTGTTTGCTACTCTGCATCCATTCTCCATACTCCAGTTAGTTTTATTCCATCTTTCTTCAGGGGGAACTACTTTCTCCCTGAATCTCAGTTCATGTGCTTTGGGTGGGAATCACTTCTGCCCCTCACTTCCAGCTTTTGGGAGGCATGGATTCAGCCGGCCACCATATTCTTGGGCACAGTAATTGCTTTTGAGATGGACTTATGTCCCATTTGGAGCCAGGGAAAAATATTTTTTATATATTTTCTATAACTGTGAGATGAGAGTTAAGCGCTCCAGGTTTTGAACTTGACCTTGGTAATCTATGAGTTATAGTTGCTGATAGCTGATGAAACCATGTAACAAAATTACAAAAAATAAAAGATCTAGTGTCTTCCAGCTACTTCACCTTATGGAATTTCATTTTTGCTATTTAAAAAGAGTGAGGCATCAATATATTGTGCCAGAGTAGATGCCAGTAGAAGGCTGTCTCCCCAGTGTTACACAGAAAACCAGGGCTTCATCAAAATAAACTGGAGGCAAGAGCCTGGTCTTCAGACACAGTACTTGTCCAGCTGTGAACTGCTGCTTGCTACATTAGGTACTTGCTACATAGTCAAAGGAGCAAGAGTTAATTCTGTGATAGATTAAAAATTGAATATCATGAATAAGCCTTAGCTATGTTTGTAAAATTTCAGATTCTTCATCCCTTCTTCCTACATTATGCCATTTAACAATGCTCAAAATGAAAACCTTGTCAAACAGGCAGAGTAGACATATGTAACCCCCAAAAATTAGAATTATTATTTTTAGTAATAAGACTTTACACTTTAAAATGGTTTTAGATTTACAGGAGAACTGTAAAGAGTCCTTATGTACCCCACACTCAGTTTTCCTTTTTATTAATACCTCACATTAGTAGGTGATATGGTTTGGCTATGTCCCCACCCGGATCTCATCTGGAATTCCCATGTGTTGTGGGAGGGACCCAGTGGGATGTGACTTGCTCCTCCTTGCCTTGTGCCATGATTGAGAAGCTTCCACATCATGTGGAACCGTGAGTACATTAAATATTTTTCCTATATAAATTAGCACTGTGAAGATGGACTAATACAGTATGGTACAATTTGTTACAACTAGTGAACCGATGCTGATACGTACTAAAGTCCATGCTTTATTCAGATTTACTTTTTTAGCAAATATCTTTTTTTTCCCTGTCCTAGGATCCCACATGGGATATAGCACATTACATTTTGTACTAGTGTCTCTTTAGGCTCTTCTTGACTGTAATCATTTCCCAGATTTTCCTTGTTTTTGATGGTTTGGAGGATTGTCAAAATTTTGGTTAGGTATTTTGTGGAATGTGCCTGTCTTGGAATTTTTCTAATATTTTTCTCATGATTGATGTTTTAAAATTTTTTATTTTTTGGGGGGGTGTGGGGGAGGGAGGAGAAAGACCACAGGGGTCAAGTATCATCCTTATAACATCATGTCAAGGATACAAACTATCAATATGAATTATTAGTGTAGATATTAACCTAGATCTCCTGGTTGAGGTAATATTAGTCTGGTCTCTTCTGCAAAGTTGCTTTTTTTCCCTCTCACTTCCATACTGTCCTATTTCAAAGGAAGGTACTGTGTGCAGCCCAGATATAAATTACAGAATGAGAAATTATGCTTCCCTTCCTTGTGAGAGGAGCATTTTCATAAATTACTTGGAATTCTTTTGCATGGGAGATTGGCTTCTTCTCCTCTATTTATTTACTAATTATTTCTTTATGTTAGTGTGGACTAATGAATATTTATTTGATACTTTTGTTTAGAACCTGACACTGCTATTTTATTTATTTTGTTGCTTGAATTGTTCCCACTTTGGCCATTGGGAGTTTTTTCAGTTGGCTTCTGAGTCCTCTGACATAACCCCATCCATGTGGGTTTTGTTATTTTCAATTTTCAAAACTTTCTTATTTTCTAGCACAATAAAATATTCCAGTCTCACCTTATACATTTCCTTCCCTAGTCCTAGAATTATCTACTTCTCCAAGGAGCCTTTTATTGGAGAATGGTATTAGAGACAAAGATCTGGGTGCTGGTAGCTGGTTGCTACTGGGGTGGTGTTGCTTTTAGGTCCTGTCAGAGCAAGAAAATACATGTATGTAGCCACCTTGTATATATACACATATCTATAAATATGATCTTCCACTAAACTGGTCCATGGTGCCAAAAAGGTTGGGGACTACTGAATAGAGTGTAGTGCTTATGCAAATATTTCTGTACATAACCATCTGTATCTACATGTCTCCAACTCTAATCCCCATGGATCATTCTAGCCTCCTTTTCTTTCTTGTCTGTAATCTTCCACTCCAACAGTGAGAAACTTGTCTCTTACCACGTACCACTCAGTTACTTAATTTTTCAATCCCAGCGTACATGTTTAGCACTGTCAGAATTGTTAACTCATACCCCTATGGGAAGCAATTTTACCAACAGGAGCAGGGTTTCCCACCACAATACCCATCTGTGGCCTGTTAGGAGCTAGGCTGCACAGCAGGAGGTGAGTGGCAGGCAAGCAAGCATTTCCACCTGAGCTCCCGCTCCTGTCAGATCAGTGGCTGCATTAGATCCTCAAAGGAGAACTAACCCCATTGTGAACTATGCATGCAAAGGATCTAGGTTGCATGCTCCTTATGAGAATCTAATGCCTGATGATCTGTCATTGTCTCCCATCATGCCAAGACGGGACCATCTAGCAAGTTCAGGGCTCCCACTGATTCTGCATTATGGTGAATTGTATGATTATTTCATTATGTATTACAATGTAATAATAACAGAAGTAAAGTACATGATAAATGTAATGCACTTGAATCAGCCTAAAACCATCCTCCCTGACCCCAGTCTGTGGAAAAATTGTCTTTTAGGAAACTGGCCCCTAATGTCAAAAAGTTTGGGGACACTGAACTAGCATGTAGGACTTATTCAGTGCTTAGTGAACTTCTTTTCACATTTTGTCTTACAAACTTCATTCATTTCCAAAATTTGTTACTTATTTTCCCTCCATCTCCTTCAGTGAGGTTGTTTCATAATAATACACTTAGATTCTTTTAACATAGTCTACATTTCATCCTGGGATATGTCAACCTTCTACATGAATTTTAACTCACTGATCATACTTTAAAGTTCTCTCTCTGTGCTGTTAAGTATATGGTATATTTCACAATGGTTGCTTTTCCTCTTCCCGTAACACACCCATGAAGAGATCTTTCTTGGTTCTTTAAGGTGACTAACTTGTTGGGTTCCCGGAGGTAAAACCATGAAAGTGTGGGACCCCTTAAGACTATAGCTCCTTAGAGTTTGTCATTCTCAAGCTAGTACACACTCAGCCTCCAGCAGTTTATCAAAATGACCATTAAAGTGTTCCTACTAGATTATGGCTTCTGCTTTAGGTAAGCAGATCTTGATTGTGATGTCTGTATTTATCTTTCTAGATTCCAGGGTAGTGGTTTGCCCTAATACATGGATTCTTTGAAGGGTCCAAGAAAAGTCACTGATTTTTAGTTTTTTCAGTTTTCTTTCTTGTCGTAAGGATGAGTATGATGGCATTCAACCTCATCATGTTGGAGCTTAAACCAGAAGTCCATCAGAATAATTTTTGACTAGCCCCTCTACCCACACACCACCAAATAAAATTCCCAGCTCTCTGAGAACATGACCCCTGTCCTACCCATGACTGAAGGAAGTTTGAAAAGAGCCTGTCCTACTGAACAAGGTATTGACACCTGGACCCAGAACCCAATCACCACTTATTTGCCTCTTTTAAAGCCTCAGGTACTTACGTTTGGGTGCTGTGTTGCAGTGGCTTTGGAGCAAGACACATCTGGGTTCAAAACTCAGCTCCATGATTTCAGATGGGTGAGACTTAAAAGCTGTTAATAATATTTTCAGTAGTAGCATTCACCCAATTCATTCAGCAGATGTTTATTGAGCACAGGTTGTGTATCAGACATGATTGCATTAGGGAATAAATCATGTCTCTGTTCTCATGGAACTTTCTTATTGTTTTATCATACCAGGTACGAAACAGTACTGACTGAGCCAGAGACTTGCACATTAATCCCATAACATCCTGTAGGAATTATAAACAGGGTCTTGAAACATAGAGTGCTGAGGATGGGTGCTTAGGACAGTGGAGCATCCTGGGCCTGTGAGGGTGCCAGAGAGGTGAGTCAAAGCATTCTCAATCCTCTGGGAACATCTTTGATCATGTTCTTAGAAGGGTCTCATTGTGGTAATCCCAAGGTGCAAATGGGGCATTTGGAAGGAAAACTCTTACTAGTTCCTCTGTGGGAGTGTTTGCTTAATAAATTATCTCCCTAAACTCAAAAAATTATTAGGCATTTCATGGTTTTGTGGGCTTTTTGGAAAAAAAGAAAAGAAAATTGAAATCATATTCTCTGAGACAGGCTGGATATCTTCTCCAGTGGAAAATGAGCATTTTCTCTTCAAGTAGATTTCAATGTCAAGGTACTTGGGCAATCCTGGAATGGCCTCAGGGAGTGGGAGCAGCACCTAACTTAGGCCAGTGTTTAACAGTTTGATTTAAGGTGAAAATGCAAATTCCATTTACCAAGGGATCCTTCACAGAAGTTCCAACACACATTCTTTATTGAAACTCTTTCTATGTAGATGCGTATTTTCAGTTCATAGAAAACCAGCATTGCGCCTTGGGGCAATTTTAGAGGTTTGTGTAGAAAATCGTATGAATTCAAAAATATCCAGTGAGAAAAGGTTAATATTAAAAGGAAAACTCTGTAATTCCAGAATTTTGGGAGGTTGAGGCGGGTGGATCACCTGAGGCCAGGAGTTCAAGACCAGCCTGGCCAACATGTGAAACCCCGTCTCTACTAAAAATACAAAAATTAGCTGGGCATGGTAGTACACGCTTGT